CTCCCCAGGAATCTCTTCATTGGAGGAAATTGACTCAAAGCATAGGAAAGAAGACCAAAGGTTAACACCACATCCAGACAGTCTACGTCACAGTCTATCACCAGTTGTTCAGATACCTCGATTATCTCCCCTAAGTTGCCCACATGCCCCTCCCCTCTCTCCACTGAAGTCAGCATATAAGCTCTTACATTTCACTGGATTGTTGGGTACCCACTGTTTTTCCCTTGTGATATACCTGTGCACATAATAAATTTGGAAGCATTTTCTCCTGTTGATCTAATGTCTGTTTATTTCATAGATGTACTTTATCAAAACTTCAGAGGATGATGAGAAAATTCTCTTTACCCCTACAAAACCTAATTCCCACCATACTTTAAAAAAGAATAAAGCATTAATTGGAAGATTTTGTCTATTGAATGAAAGTCAATTATTCTTCCCATTCTGTTCCTCCATGTTTTATCCCCAAAATTATACATTTTTCTTTCATCAAAGAAAATATTATTGCTGCCCCCATTCTGTATGAGCAGCTGAACTTGGGGTCACTCATGTGAATTTCCAGGGACTCCAAATAAAATGCAGACACACTTTACCTTTAAAGAAGCTTCTGGACGGCTTCTCAGCTCTTGGCCTCAGGCTCTCCAAAAGGGAGAGCAAGAGAAAGTCACGAGAGGCTGGCAATAGAGATGGAGCACGTTTGGAAGTGGGCTTTTATTGGGGTACTCTTGTCCTTAGAAAGTTCTATCCAAAAAAGGCCAGAAGGGGCAGGGTTACAAGGGACAGGTGAGTGTAATTCAGCCTCAGGGATGACACTTACATCTGCAGACACACCTTCTACTTCCTGAGCTGGGACAACGCCCAAGTCACCCGAAATGTAGTGATCGGTCAGAGCCTCTTGCTTCAGGACTGGAAAGTGTGGGTCATTCAAAGTGGCCCCCTACAGACTATTTTTGCGTGACTTAATCATTTAATTCTAACTTTAAAAACCTGCTTTTTATTTCATTTAATGTTTTATTTTCTGTGTGATTCTCATTTTGAGTTTTTCATTTCAGTTAATGAGACTATCCTCACTTCTACAGCCATAGGACTTTGTTGATCAGCTGTATATTCTGTCTCACCAAAACAAATGATTCTTTTCTTTCTTACCCAATTATTTCTCAGTAAATTCCCAAGGAGGCCTCAGGACACATTTCGTTTAGGAGAAAAAAAAAATTTAAAGCATAAATAGTCTAGTAAAACACCATCTACCTTCTAAATCTGCTTCTGAAACACACACATTTTAGATGTGGGAGCAGTGGAAGAGATTCAAAATTATCTTCCATTATCCAGATTTCACATAGCTGTCCTTTGGCAAAATTTTAGAATTACAACACTTTTGTAAATAAGAACAAAGTTCTCTGAGAAGCCAGTCTACTGAGGTTTGTTATTCACTTTGACTGAATTGCTATATTATACAGTAAATAGCAGTTTTGATTACTTCAAAACTGATAGATCTCTTAAAAATCACAATCCATTTTTTAAACTAAGTGAATATGAATAGTACATGAATAGATCTAGAAGCTCAGATAATTTCAATTTTTCATAAATCGACACCTTCCCTCCCCCTAACTGGTGTTAAACATACCTTCCATGTGACCATTATTGTGTGATGATTTGGTTCCAAAGTCAAGAAAAAAACCCACAAGTGTAGATGGTGGTCTACCACATGAATTCCCAAAGAGAAACACATTTTGAGTTCCAATTTGGACTCAATCAAGCATGTCCACAAATCCAGAGTTATGAAACTCAACTCTGCTCTGTCATCAAAGAAGAGAAGAGTGACAAAAACAGTTAAGGCCAGGAGTGGTGCTAGGAGAGGGGGAGGAGGCAAGCAAGTGGAGGACTGGGTAGAGAAGACCACAGGATGCTGTCAGCTGGACCAATAAAATAAGGAAGTCCCTAACCTCAGGGTGAGAGAGACATGATAGCAGCTGCAAAAGGGAAGTGCACATGTTTATACAATAGGTGGATGGATGTTCATAAGCAAGAGAATGTAATCCTGTTTGCCTTTAAACACTTGTCGTGAAAAAGTTATATTTGGGGACTTTTCTAGGAACAGAGCTGCAATCCCTTGCTGTTGCCGGAAACTGCCTTGTGGTTTGGCATCCTGGGGATTTGCTTGACTTTTTGTGGCTGTCACCCCAAAGTAGGAACCACTAAGTCAAAGTTAAATGAGAGCTAAAATTAAATTACTTCCCTTCCTTGTTTATGTATTTCTTTGGAATGAAGACATTTTAGCACCTACGATGTATTAATTTGTAGGATGGAATGTCACAGCAAGCCAATCATAAGTCCTAATGAAAATACAGGAACAATCTTGTATATTTTTCCATAATACAGTATATTTTGTTAGGATAAAACATAGGATCCCTAGTAACATAGCACTATAAATAGATATGAATGCCCTTTACCTTAAATGTGAGTAGATATATGTGACAGAAATTTGTGAGTTGTGTTCAATAACTTCTAAAGAACAATATTGAGATTTCTTGATACTAAAGCAAAATTTTTAAGATTAAATAAAAAGCTGTCATTATAACTTGAAAACTTCTCTTAAGAAATTACCAAGGAAAAATGCATAGGACTTTCAAAGGGAAAAGATTTATGATTAAACATATCATCATATACCAAAAAAGAAGGGTGAGAGAATATAAATGTTAAATGTTGAAGGTTTCAACACAGGAATAGAGTATATAGAAGTGTTGGAACATTGGTTCTGAATATTTTTGGAATTGCTACCATGATCTATAACTACACTTTCTGCTTCTTGTCAATCCATTCTTCTGGAAGCATGCAACCCCTTCCACAACTGCTAATTAATTGTACTTGGTTCATAACTAAGTGCAGGTATGTAAAAAAACCCAAAGTTTCAGTTACAGCAGGCTTTTGCCCAGGATTTGCACAATTTGAAAAATAAGGGCAATAAAGAAATAGGTAGGCTAATTCCTGTCCCAATCAAAATGATGTTTCCCCTTACTGTGTCTGAGAAATCAAACTAAAAGTGAGCACCCCAAAAGATTTCAGTTTCCTTGTTTTCCTTCATTTTCCTAAATTCACCAAGTCTCATCTTTTTTCTCATCTATAATTAGCATTTTATTTTGTAATATCGTAATTTTTTTCTTCCTTCCCTCTCTCCTATCCTGCACCCTCTCTTCTCTTTTCTCTCCTTTAAAAAGACAAAAACAGCAATGAAAAACCTTCCCAAAGTAGTAAGCATTTGCTGACAGTTCACTCTGGTATGGAGCTCTCGGTAGTCAGCTTTTCTAAAATAAACCTTTGGGGGCTGGGGTTGTGGCTCAGTGGTGGAGTGCTTGCCTAGCATGCTTGAGGCACTGAGTTTGATCCTCAGCACCACATATTATAAAATGAAGACATTGTGTCCACTTAAAACTAAAAAATAAATACTTTTTTAAAAATAAAATAAACCTTTGTACAACTAGACTAGATGCCAGCTCCAGTGTACCTTTGCCTATTTGTTATTAAGTTTTGTACTCATATTGTGTGCTTTATAAGGCATCTTTCCAGGATGACAACATGGACAGATAGAGGGCAACTCAGGTCTGTTCAGCAGTATTAGGAGAAAGAAAGGAAGCAGAATATATTCTTGTGATTCTCAAAGGTACTTCATAGAGCTGGGCACGGTATTGCACGCCTGTAATATCAGCAACTAGAGAGGCTGAAGCGGGAGGGTCGAAAGTCTGAGGCCAGCCTTAACAATTTAACAAGATCCTGTCTCAAAATAAAAAGGGCTGGAGATGTATCTGAATGGTAAATTCTGTATTCAATCCCCAGTACAACAACAATGACAAAAACAAAGCAAAACAAATAGTAATCATAGAGCTAGAGTACAAAATTCTATTCTACTATAGGAACATACCAATAGAACAGCAGTTAGAGCTAATGAAGTAATTATTAGAACAGTGAGTTTATTCTCTCTCCATCTCCCCTTCTCTCCTTTCCTTTTTATTCTATATTACCTTTATGTTAAAATTAAAAACCTCGAAGAGTTAAGGATGTTGTTCAGTGGTAGGGAACTTGCCTAGCATGGGCAAGGCCCTGAGTTTGATTCTGCAAAATAAATAAATGCCTCTAAAACATGATCCCAATCCAATCATTAAAACATCAGATAAACCCAAATAGAGGAACCTTCCACAAATATTCCCAACCAGTACTCTTTTTTTTTTATTAGTTGTTCAAGACAATACAATGGTCTTGACATATCATACATTTCCAACCAGTATTCTTTAAATCTGTCAAGATGCTGGGCATGATGGTCCACTATAGTAATTTCAGCTCCTCAGTAAGCTGTGTCAGGAGGTCACAGTTCAAGGCGAGACTGAGCAACTTAGTAAGACCCTTTCTCACCTATCTCGAAAGAAAAAAAGAAAGAAAGAAAGAAAGAAAGAAAGAAAGACAAACATAAAAATTTTATGCAGAATTATCCACATAATTTTCACTTGCAACCATTAGCCAAAATTCAGTCATATGACTATATCTAACCCAGAGATAGGCAGGGAATGTAGTCTAGTTGGAAGGCTACATCTTAGGGAATAACATTAAAAGGAAGAAAAAGAAAGTATTATGGGAATAATTAATCAGATCTCACACAATCACCAGGCTCCTTAGAAATGGAGCAAGAACTTTAATCA